TTTCAGTAAGTACATTCAGTTTTGAATATTTTGTTACATGAAGCAGAGGTTTATTTTTCACAGTTGATTACAATGTTCTCTTGCTTTTGCTCAGTATTCTTACTTTTTGTCACTGGGATGTGAGCATGGGATGAAATATAGACCACAGTCCAGTGATTGATGCTGAGTTCTGTCAAATTCATATATGGCTTTTGTATTGTGTTTTTCAAGACCACACTTTGACCACAAAATGTCAATTGTCTGCACAATCACATTTTGTAGCTAAATGTGGGACACAGAACTTGAATATTAAGAAGCAGTTGATGGCTTACAAATACTCTGTGCATCTGTCTGTCCATACATCTTATTGCTTATCCTGCACAGGTTAGCAGGAATAAATACATTGTTCAAAAAATTAAAGGAACACTTTTTAATCAGAGTATAAAGAGGTAAGGAACTTGCTCTGAGTACAGTCCTTTGCCGAACCCACCACACGACAAACCTCCTCAGGGATGAGAACCTGAGTGCAGCCAGTTATACTGACATAGATAGACTTCATCCACCAATAGCGTTCGCTGTCAGAAATGTTCAAATAGCTACTTAAAGCTTTGATACAAAATGCTACAACTACATTAGTAATACTCATCATAAGTGGTTGCATGACGAGGTGTAGAAATTATGTATTGTCTATGAAAACTCCTAAAACGATAATGTTACTGTACCGTATGGAGATGCCGAAGCTAAAGTCTGCCTCAGCATCCCAGTAACGTGTGTCGCTGCATTCTGTAACTGTATTTGTTTTATATTGATGGGGAAACAGGCAAGGGGGCATTGAGAATCGGTGAAGTTATACTTATAGATAAACCATACTTCATCCGCCAATAGCGTTCGCTAGGGATGTTGCAGCCTTTAGTACTAACCGATACCGATACAAATCCGATACAATAATCAGCACAAATCATGAATACTTTTACCCATTTCATTGTGTGGAATGTATGAACGGCTAGATCAAACTGAGAACAAAAGTCAGCAACAGTAAGTATGGAAAAAAACGACCAATTTATTAACTATTGGTTGCATAAATGTGAACCTTTTACATAAGAATATATAAAAAAGAATTAAAGAATAAATATTAAGACCCTGAAAAATACCTTAAGTAAATAAACAAAAATATATTTTTAAAAGTGCAAAATACTAATTAAAGGTCACTTCAGTTATTTATTTTTTACCGTCAGCAAATGGTAGGAACAGCTGAGAGCAGGAACATAAGAAAAAAAAAAAATTGTTAATTGACCAACTGCTAAAGGTTGAGTGTCCAAAGTTTCAATTTCACACACGCTGCCCGAAAGAATGAGATCGTTGCATTTACTATCCACAAAAAATAGTGCAAACAAAATAAATATAACTCTAATACAGGGCAGAAAACAAATACCTAACTAAAAGGATGACTACACTTCCTACTCCTCCAACTAACCCGATATTACTCACCACCGACAGTGGCTGGTCATCGAGCACAATAAACTGGCATATCTTTTCTGTTAAGGTTAATGCCCTTTTGCTATCTCTTGGGAATTTGTCACGCTTTGCGAGGGTTTCAGGCAGCGTTGGTTGCTTGAAGTTGCCAGAGGATTGTTTCTTTAACTCAGTGGTCTTGCGAAAGTCCTCATGCAGAGTTTTGTGATGCTGCTTCAAATGCGCGATGAGGTTGGACGTATTAAAATTTCCCGGTTCTGTTCCACCACGGGAAACTTGTGCATGACAAGTGTTGCACTGAGCCACACTGTCTTTTTCGGACTTTAATGAAAAATACTGCCACACGGCCGACCGGTCTTTTTCTTTGCTACTTCGCTAGCAAGCAGTGTTGTGATCACATGGGCTTTGCACGCTGGCTCTGGACGCTGCTGGATAGAATAGCTGTAACGGCGTTTAGAGCGGAACGGACTGCTTATATCGGAGATTTTTAACGCAGTCCGATATAATCCGATAGAGTTTTTTTGGGCTGATATCGGACCTATTTACGATATCAATATCGGATCGGGACATCCCTAGCGTTCGTCAGAAATGGCATGACTCCGCCCCCAAACTGTCAAAACCCCACCCCCGGCAGAACGCGAGCGCAGAAATTTCCCTCAAGCGCAGAGAGCAGCCGAAGTTAATGTCCTTTGCGTGCAAACCCACCATAACATTGGGAGGAGAAAAATGAATTAGAGAAGGTGATATTATGATGAACGCACACGCAGCTCTTCGTCCTGTGCTCGCGAGTTTCACTTTTGCGCTCGTGAGTGGCATGTTTACATGTGTGACCTTTGACTTTGATGTGACTCCATACTAAAGCCCTACAAAATGGCCTCCAGCAGGCCACTCGTGTGAATGTCTCTGACCAAACAATCAGAAATGGACTTTGTGAGGGTGGCCTGAGGGTCTGATATCCTCTAGTGGGCCCTGTGCTCACTTCCCTGGAACCATGGAGCTCGACTGGAATTTGCCCTACAATACCAGAATTGGCAGGTCCGCCACTGGCGTCCTGTGCTTGACACAGATGAGAGCAGGTTCACCCTGAGCACATGTGACAGACGTGAAAGGGTCTGGAGAAGCCGTTGAGATCGTTATGCTGCCTGTAACATTATTCAACATGACCGGTTTGGTGGTGGGTCAGTGATGGTCAGGGGAGGCATATCCATGGAGGGACGCACAGACCTTTACAGGCTTGACAGCGGCACCTTGACTGCCATTAGGTATCAGGATGAAATCCTTGGACCCATTGTCAGACCCTATGCTGGTGCAGTGGGTCCTGGGTTCCTCCTGGTGCACGACAATGCCTGGCCTTATGTGGCATGAGTATGCAGGCAGTTCCTGGAGGATGAAGGAATTGATACCATTGACTGGCTCCCATGCTCTCCTGACTTAAATCCAATAGAACAGAGGACATTATGTTTCGGTCCAGCACACAACACCAGGTTGCACCTTAGACTGTCCAGGAGCTCAGTGATGCCCTGGTCCAGATTTGGGAAGAGATCTCCCCAGGACACCATCCGTCGTCTCATTAGGAGCATGCCCCGATGTTGTCAGGCATGCATACAAGCATGTGGGGGCCATACAAACTATTTGGTACTATATGGACTAGCCTGCCACATAGTTTTTTCACTTTGATTTTCAGGGTGTCTTTGAATTCAGCCCTCTTCAGTTGATAATTTTCATTTCTATCAAACGATGTGGCATCCTTTCGTTCCTAACACATTACCCAGTCCATATCAGTATAGATATCCTGCATGATTTTTTTCTCATTGAGATCTGATGTGTTTTCAAAGTGTTCTTTTAATTTTTTGAGCAGTGTATAACTACCACTTGCTTAATTACCAAAATTGTGTGTGTCTGTGTGCACCAAAAACTTTTCTCCTTGCTGTACTGTAGATAATATTCTTCCCACAATTCTCTTTTCCTCTAGGTTATGAACTTTCTAAGCTGGAAAACACAGTTGGCTCTCCAGAAAAGCCCCTTTCAGACCTTGGGAAGTTGAGTTATCGCAGTTACTGGTCTTGGGTGCTGTTGGAGATCCTCAGAGATTTCCGGGGGACATTGTCCATCAAGGACCTCAGGTATGCACGTATGAGGGTAACATCACTGTCTGTATCTTAATCTGTTAATTGTGGTTTTGCATTTTATCAATTATTCGCCTTCCTTCGCATTATCAAGTGAAAGTGATGGCCTCTGTTGTCTTTGCTTCTTGCTTCATTCTGCATTCCTTTAGTCAGATGACCAGCATTACGCAGAGTGACATCATCAGTACGCTACAGTCACTAAACATGGTGAAATATTGGAAGGGGCAGCATGTCATATGTGTGACACCGAAACTGGTTGAGGAACACCTCAAGAGTGCCCAGTACAAGAAGCCACCAATTACAGGTAAAAAGCTTGACAAATATCAGTGCCTGTCTTCATATAATTATCAACATTTATACATTGGCATTCGTTTTTGTATGCTGGGTTTGTGCTTTAAGGGGGTTCAAGATGTTTTTGACTTCTGCTGGGTTTTTCCAGTTGCATTCAAAGTGTCTCTGTTAAACTTTTGTTTTTTCTCCAGTCGACACAGTTTGTCTAAAATGGGCTCCACCGAAACACAAGCAGCCAAAGTTCTCTAAGAAATAGGACAAGTGCAGGAGAAAGTGGACTAAAGAAATTGAACATGTGTTTATAACATGTAAATGTTACCTGATTTCCATTTATTGTTATATTGTTGGCTTCCATTTGTTGTAAAATGTTTTCCGTAGCTTGAATTTTTTTTTTTTAATAAATAAGAATAGCGATATTCAAAAATTGTCTCCCCGACTTTTTTTTCATGATTGTCTGCTTGAGATCTTTGAGGTATTTTTGTTTGTGAAGAGTACAGTGCATGTCCACAACACATGTAATGAGTACAAGGCTTAAAGTGCTTGCCTAATGTGTGGAACTTTTAACAGAAATGAATGTGGTAAGTGATGCTAACTATACCTCATAGAAACCTGGTACTTGTGTAAACAGACCCACCCCGTTTTTCAGGATTTGTGGTAAGAGGCAGGCACAGTAACTTTCTTGAAGGTCCTATAGCTCAGGGTACATGTTTTATATAAATTGACATAATACATTTTTTATCTTTTAGTCTGTTCTTCAACTCTGCCTTACCCAGTATCTTTTAATTTCAAATATAAGTACAAGGCCCTCTGTAGTTTCTGTTATCCCTGATGAATGATATTAGATTGTGCTGCCAGTTCGGGTTTCTGTAACCTTCTTCGAGGTGTCTACCATAGTACAATCAGGTGGCGCGAGAGGCGGAACTTATTTAAGGGAATGAAATACTCAGAATCTTGAACTTTTTCAGTTATTTAAAAATTAAGAATTGCACGAAATAATCACGCAGTGAACAAATCTGTTAATCCAGATTTTAACAGGTTGTAGATTCGTTTTCTGTTCCGCTCTAACCTGTATAGGTGAGCGTAATGGATTGCCGAGCTTATGATTGGCTGCGCTTCTCAGGTAGCTGCACGTGAGGTAACGCTCGCGACTTGCCTTCCGTTCTATCCCTTTGCATTTGCTATAGTTGTATTTTGTGATCGAAACGGGGAAGAAAGCAGTTATAATCGAATGAAGAAAAGATAGTCTTACATATAACAGATTTAGACAGATGCGTTTTGTTCTCTTTTTTTGGTCTGGATTTTTAATCGGCAAACCGGTTTGTTTAAATTCCTTGTTTGGAGGCGTCTGGATATCATCAAACCAAGCTGCTTTAGAAAGAAACGTAAGTTATTCAAGGTGTATCGGGAGTTTTTCGTGACAAACGTTGAAAAGTGACTTTGATGAGGTAATTCTTATCTATATTCTTAATCTTTTAAAATTATTTTCGGCTTTGTTTAAACAGGTCTAGTTATTTTACATAAAGTAAAAGCGACACGTGTATGAAAGATATCGGTGACTATTTTAATATATTAGCCTTTTTGTATTTTTCTTTGTGTAATATATTATCTGTCTTGAAAGGATGGTGGATTCGGATTTTCTAGTGATTATACACCTGGTCATGCTAGGTGAGTCTTTGTTTTGTATTTCGCACGTATCGTCTAGTTTTATTAAATGTACTGCTAACGGCATCATTCTTCTGTGGTGCTGTGAATGTTAAAGCCAGTTGTTGTAGCCATAATAATCACGTTTTGCCTTTTGATAACGTTTCCACTTTCACTATATACAATCATTTTAAAACTTTGCGATCTCTAACAGGTTTTTGGACATGTGAAGCTCAAGGTAATCTTCATTACCATTTTAATAGTTATTAGTCCATTTTCGTGTTTAATGTACTTTCCTGTATTAACGCATTTTTCTTACAAATTTTAAGTGTGTGGTCAGCCTCCCATAACTAACAGGATTGTTGGAGGAACTAATGCACTGGAGGGTGCTTGGCCATGGCAAGTAGATATTCAGACCAGCGTGGACGGTCATATTTGTGGAGGTTCCATCATCTCCGAATACTGGGTTTTGTCTGCGGCACATTGCTTCACACAGTAAGTGAACGTAGTTCTATGCCATACTACTGCATGGGTTGTTTTTTTGACACAAAACTTTCTTTGTTCTTGTTTCTACTACTTTTCTTTAGGCCAATAACTCCGTCAATTTATCTGCTTTACCTGGGCCGGTACTATCTCAATGGCAATAACCAATATGAACAGCAAAAGAGTGTGGCTAACGTGGTGATTCTGAATGGATATACAGATACCGATCACGGCAAAGACCTGGCTCTGGTGCAGCTAGATAGCCCAGTCACCTGGTCAGACTACATTCAGCCAATCTGCCTGCCTTCTGCCAGCACCCTGTTCCCTGATGGAATGCTCTGCTATGTCACCGGCTGGGGCTATACCCAGGAGGGTGGTGAGTTGATGACCTTCATGCTAGATTTACATCAGGTCTGTGGGGAATGGTCTGTGAAAGGCAGTAAACGCAACAAAATGAACAAGAAATTAGACTAAGGTATCAGTTTTCTGTTCTTATATTTTTTGTTTTTCAGATATTGGGTTGCTCAAGGTTGCATTACCAGGGATAGTGTGGTTAATCTGGAGTGTTACTGACTTTAGAGTCAGGGATCTGATCTACTGGGTATTTGTAACCAGTTTCTGATTTTTATCAGTATCTAAAGTTATTTTTGTGCTGATATCTGTGCTGATATCACACTTTAATCATGCATGCTAGTTCAGGTAGTGGTGAACCAGTTTGATTACATTTCTGTTACTTTTTTCTGTGAAATACAAGGCTGGACAAGAAAACAGCTTTGATGATTTTATGAAATTCAATACCCTCAGTAATGGAGTAATTTTTCCCTTGGTTTCACCTGTGTGACCAGCTGCATTCAATATGTTTGATGGTCATGTTTCATGGCCGCTGGCAGCCAATGAGAATCATGCTTTGGGATGCATATTGCTGACGCACCTGTTGTAATGTGAGTGTGAGTCATCAACAACTCTCGTGTTTCAGACCAAAACAAACTGGCCTGGGAATGGTTGGAAGGGATAAAATCCTTAGTGCATACAGATAGGTATTTAATTAAATGCCAATCCGGATTGCTTGCAGATCATCATCATGACAAGTTCTATCTAATGTCAATACTCTCCCAAAGCTAGTACTTCACGTATAGTACATATGTAATACACTATGTAAATCTTTGGCCAAGCGTAAAGAGATAAAGGGATAAATATATAGGTAGTCCCTGGGTTAAGAATGTCCTACTTATGGACAACTCCTACTTACAAACAAACCCTACTTACGAACAGACTCCCTTAAATTTTCTTATACTAAATATTTTGGTAAAATACAATGATCCGTAATAACGAATACATGCACTACTTTGTGACATTGCGCAGCCTCAGCGGTTCATGGACTTTATGTAGTATAGCTGTCACTTTTTTTTTCCAGAAATCAAGTTTATGTAGTTTTCCAGCTGTATTACAAACATTGAAAGAAGATTCACAGAAGTATTGCTAGGAAACACAAAACTATTAAAAAATAGGCTCTGTAGACGGTAAACAATAAAATTACAACAAACTGTCAAATGCGCATTATAGGCTACAGGGACACTTTAAAATTAGAATGGATTATTGTTTGAATATGAATTTTTCACATCTTTGAATATCGGTTAAAAAGTGACAGTTACTTTTATTATTACTGTATTAATGTATATGTTACTGTTCCAACTTTACCTACAAATTCGACTTGGCCTGACTTAGGCTACAAACAAATCATTCACTGAGGACTGCCTGTATAACAGTGATTTTGGTTGCATTTTTAAAATGATATTCAAGCCATTTTGGAATTGTTCTTTTCTGTACTTTCTTGCCATTGATCTCAAATGAAGGTATTTTCATAATTATACATAAAGCACGTTCGCTTCTATGTTCATAAGTTTTGGTTAACTATTTTGGCCGTTTATTCAAGTGCTCCTTCTATGTGAAGTAAATTTAAGTAAAAAATGTAGCATGCTATGATAATGAGCTGTGGTTGTTTGTCAGCCTACCGAATAAGTTTCTGTATACCACCCCGTCAATTCTGTGTAATGAATGACACAATGAGTCAGACAACATTCTTAAGATGTTCTTAAGGTATATTAATTTGTTGTAGTCTCCTTGGTGGTCAAAAGCAAAACTTTATATATGAGATTTGCAGTAGTTTTGCTGAGTATGTGTTTGTGTTTTTTTTTTTTTTTTTTTTAAAGCAAGTCTTTTGCGAACCAAAAGTTTTTGTGTGCGAGTTCTGTCCGTCCCGTCCCGTCCCCCCAACAAAGTTTACTTACATATAAGATCCTTAGATGTTCTATTCATTGTTTTTGCTCTTCACAGTAGCTTATTTGTCCTGAAAATGTTTCTACGTCCTGAAAATTTTACCCCATTTGCAATAAACCCAGCCCTGCATTCTTTTGCTTGTTGTCGCATCAAAGCGCTTCTTTCTACCTTCGGGCCACCTGTTTTTTTTTTCTTTTTCTTTAAGGAACTTGTTTTGTTGGTTTTCTCATGTTCCTTGAATAAGATCCATGCTAACTGTGATGTTATGCTGGATAGTGAAGCAAGGCTGGGTGTTGAAATTTTTTAATTGTACAATTATAAATGCAAATCATGCCAATGGAAATTATTATTTTACTTAAGATTTTCTGAATAAGGTTCTTTGTTAATGTTTCTGTCATTAACCCAGATACATTGTTATAAATCTTTTGCTCATCAAGTAAGAATGGTTTTCACTAGGTTGCTCAGCATTTGGTGATCTTGTTTACTTGCCTATCTTTCAAAGTTTTTTTTTTTTTCCCCCCCTACTCTTCCTCCAGTTTCCCTTAGTGGTGCGGGGATCCTACAGCAAGTGGGAGTGCCCATCATTGATCAAAATTCCTGCCAAGCAATGTACCAGATTGGGACAGGTAGCCCTGTGTCTATTCTGTCAGACATGATCTGTGCTGGCTATCAACAGGGTGGCAAAGACTCTTGTCAGGTAAGCTATGCTTTTTTTCAGATCATGCTGATGTGACTAATTTATGTTTAAATGCTGCCTTTAATAAAACAGAAATATTAGTGCAGCACCTCTTAACTTCCGGTTGTATTCCTGTCAAATTAGACCCATTTTGCAGCTTTTTCTGTTGTAAATGTTCTTTTATCTGATTACCATAAGATTTTATTTCATCCTGCAGACTAAACATCCAAACATATGGATTTATTGATGTGCCATTTTATTTTATATAAATGAATGTGTTTTAAAGTAAATTACAGTATAGTTCAGCCCTAACGCACAGTGCATTCACAAAAATAATTCTAATTGGTTATATGTACTGTATTATGTAAATTGATGCGGCTAAGCAGTGGGGCTAACCTTCATTTTGATGTACAGAAATTGTAGAAAGTAAATTAAAATGGTATAAGTGAAACTGGTTATAAGGCAGGCTAGCCTACTCCGAGAGGGTAAATGGCACATATCTATGGCTAACCTCGAACTACTGGGTGAGTCTGTCAAACCTGAATATCGTCTTTTATGATGTATTTCCATTGCAGTCATGCTGTGGTGATATTTAAGTTTTGCAATGCAGTATATTTCTGAATAATTGAGAAGGAAAATTTTAATAGATGCCTTTTAATAATCGAGTTTGAGTAATTGTGACGGCTCTAATATTATTCACTATCAGTAGTATGGCACATTGCAATGTATTGATGCATTCCTGATAATTCTGAACTTGAAAATTTCCAACCACCTACTTAAGAAGTACTATAGAACAGCTGAAAGGAATGGATTCATAATGCAAATTTCTGCCAGCGTTTGATGGTAACATAAGATGCTGAATCTCACAGACTTACTAATGGAAATTGGTGCATATTTCGATAGAGGAGATATTCTGCATAAACAAGGTTAAAAAAGATTTAGAAAATGTTGGTGTGGTGGTAGTTTTTGCAGTTTAGAGTCTGATACGTTTATTAAACATAAGAATACTTCTGATGCTGATAAGGTTCTTCTCGGCAATCAGCTCTTGAAAAATTCTGTAACCGTTGTTGGCAGAGTTTAGCAGATTAAACTTAATCTCTCCTCTCTGGATCACTGTTTGTGAGTCCTACAGAATCCTATTCCTTTGTCACGAATACTTGTTACAGCCGACAATGCCACACTCGACCTGAAGGTGGCGAAACAGCTCAGGCAGTTGTGGATTGTACAGTTTGACGTCACTTGTAGCCCCCCATTCATGTACAAATACACAAAGAAAGTAAGCCAGAAGACCATCGCAAGGGTGGGGAGATAAGTGGACAAATAAGTAATGGCAGCCCAACTCTGTGGCTGCTATGTCGTTGCTGCTTGTATTTAGAAATGGTGAAACGTGGGTCAATTTGGTTGTGGCCAGCCACTTCAGAATACTTTCTGCATTTCTGTTATTTGGAGTGACAGCAGGTTTCTGATATTTTATTTAGATGGTTTTGGGTTGTGTTGCTCTGCTAGCAGAGGAAACCAGGGGAACAGCCTGTCAGATTAGTGTTTCCATGTCCCGCAATAATATTGGCTTTGGAACCTCCTGAATTCCATAAGGTGACACTTGCGTGTCTGAAGCACTTTCCTGCTGTTTTTTCTCAGGGGGATTCAGGCGGACCTCTCGTGTGCCAAGTGATAAATAATACTTGGGTGCAAGCTGGAGTGGTGAGCTTTGGGGATGGTTGTGCCCAGACCAACCGACCTGGCATCTATACCAAGCTGTCCAGCTACACTGACTTCATCACAAGCAATGTGCCTGATGCCCAGGTGATTGGAGGGGCTTCTCACATTTGGGTGAGCGGGACGGTGGTGCTAGCCAACATTTTGGCCTCCCTGGTTGCTGTGGTGCTGTTGCGTTAAGCCTCCAGTCAGGCTTAATGGCCTAAGTCTATGCACTGACAGGCAAAATGGATCATGCTGCACTGAACCAAACATCTTAATACTACTCAGGCCCTGCAGTGACAACTCCATAGTGCACTGGACAGCATACTGTATTGTTTTAAGTTGTCCTGTCATTCTCTATAAAAAGCAGCATCCACATAGCAATGCTTTTTATAAATCATGCCAACATCAATCAATTGTATTGTTCACTGCCTTCTTGTATTAAATAGCTTTTAATTTAGTTATTTCTTAATAATGCCTTAAACTGTGCATCAGATGTTTCAATCTCATTTGACAAAATTGTCCTAAATTTTGTAATGTATTTTTTTTAGCTTGTTACATCTATGTATGCATTGGTAAATAGCTTTTTTTAAAAATATTTTTTAGAAAAGCAGATGCAGCTTAAGCTGAGATAAATGGTTAGGAAACTGCTACGTAAAAGTGTCCTAACAAAAATATATACAACCCTGACGATTCACCAAAATGATTTAATGAAAATTTCTGTGTTGCATTGTTCACTTTGACTCCCCTCCCTAAATATAAAATAGAAATATAAGCTGAATATGCATAATTTGTTTCTTTATCTCACTACTTTAGATTTTACATATTTCTGTAGTAATGTGCACAAGATGTGCCGTATATGTGACGACTTCTGAAATCATTTGAAAATATTTACTAAATATTTTTAACCATCATGGATATAAATAAAAGTTAATTGCTTTCCTTTTTTTGATTGTCTTTGTCTACAAGGGTGTGGCATTTACTTAGTGATATTCATTTGTAATATTTTGTAACTTAGTTTTATAGATATTGATAACCAGTAGCTGGTTCTCTCGTGTCATTACAACATGACGAGATTTCTCATCGGAGTGAAAAGCGGTCTCGTGAAGGCGCTGCAAATCAGCTGCTGTAAGCATGTCGGCGTCTGACGAAATTACCATAGTAGATGCCCCAGACACTTTTAAATCATTTTGGGTACCCGGCGGAAAATATAAACGGCGAAACCACAAACCATCGGTAAGCATTGTAGAAAAATAATGCCGTACACAGCGGCTAGCGCTACTATGCAAAGCCATTTGCAGCACCATCATAGCTCTTTACTTAAATCCACTGCACCGGTGGAAAAAAAAAAACATAAAAAAAATGTTTATTTATATTCTATTTTATGTTCAGTTGAGAAGTCAAATGAAGCCTGTCATTTGAGTTTGTGGGGAAATATTTTATGGTGCTAGATCAGGGGTCACTAACAGGCGGACTGCCGTCTGAGTCCGGACCCAGACGACATCCCATACGGACCCGAACCTATAATTATAATATTAAATTACTTTTAATTTTGACAGGGCGATTCAATTTTAAGCGGTGACATTACAGCTTTACTCTAAACTTTACAGCACCGTATTAATAGACCAAGGAACATACTGTACAAACCAATCGTGTGCGAGTTAAGCCACCCACGTGACGCTACTTAGCCAATCAAATCTGTGCATTCAAGGCGATCGCAACTCTGAATGCAGACACAGACAGACAGAGGAAAGAGGCGAATGACAAGCGAGACAATTAATGATACAGGGAGACAAGACGTGAGTTGGAGTCACAAGAGGTAAAACAACTATGGCGCTTTCAAAAATGAGAAAAGTAGACACCGAAAATAGAACTTTCAAGACTGAATGGACCGACGCATACATGTTCATTCTTCCGGCCGCAAGCATGAAACCAGTGTGTCTCATATGTTCAGAAACCGTGGCACTTATTAAAAGTGGCAATGTCAAACGCCACTAGGAGACAAAGCACAAAGCCTTTGAACAATCATACCCACCCAAGTCTGAACTCAGGTCCCAGAAAATTAGCAGTCTCAGAGCCCAATACGATCAATCCACCAGGATCTTAACCCATTCTTTCACCGCCCAACAACGTGCTCATGAATGTTCCCTCAGAGTTGCTTGGATTTTAGGTCAACAAAAAAAGCCCTTTACAGATGCAGGTGTTGTCAAAGAGTGCATGAGTGCAGTAGCAGAAACATTACTTGAGGGTAAACAGAAAGAAGAGCTTTGTGACAAAATAAAGCAAATACCTATGTCAGCATCAACAGCCACAAAGAGAAGTGAAATATTAGCTCAGGATGTGCTATCCCAGCTGGAAGAAGCCATTCATAAGACACCATGTGTAGGCTTGGCTGTAGATGAGTCCACTGATGTCTGACAATGCTCAGCTGTTAGTTTATGTAAGGTTCTTCAACAACGATAAGAAAGAGTTCTGTGAAGACCTGTTAGGTGTAACTTCCCTTCAGAGCACTACAAGAGGCGAGTATATCTACCTGGCCATTAAGAAAATGTTAACAAAGTGAGGAAGAGTGTCAAACCAAGTGGTTTCAATAACCACAGATGGAGCCCCTGCCATGATGGGGAGAGAGAAAGGAGCTGTAGCAAGAATGAAAGAGGACAATCCTGAGCTAATCTCTTACCATTGCATTATTCATCAGTCTGTCCTATGCTCCACCCTGTCAGATGAGTATGCTGAGGTGATGAAAACAATGATGAAAATGATAAATTTTCTCAGGGCATCTTCTTCTTGTCAGCATCGCATGCTCAGGGAATTCCTCAGAGAAGTTGATGCAAACACTGATGATCTTTTGCTTCACAAAAATGTGAGATGGCTCAGCAAAGGCAGAGTATTGGAGCGATTTTGGTCCATCAGAAGTGAAGTAGCAGCTTTCTCTGAAGAGCTGGAAAGTCAGAAGGCAACAAACTTTTTCTCTCTTTTTAAATGATGAGAAAAACATGGATATTGTGGCCTTTTTGGTTGATATCACTTCACACCTGAATGAACTGAATTTTAAGCTGCAGGGCAAGGACAATTCTATTTGTGAACTGATGACAGCTGCCCGCTCCTTTCAGAGGAAACTTGAGGTGTTCAAAGAAGACCTGCAAGGAGACTATGCACACTTCCCAACAGTGAAGGAACGGGTTCAGGGACAGAGAGATGTGTCCTCTTTTGTTGACTTTGTTGATAAGCTGATTGAAAACTTCAGCAAATGTTTCGATAGCTTCAGCTTTGGACAGCAACTCACCATGTTCATAAAGAACCCATTTCTCATCACTGATGTCAGAGGGTTCTCAAAGGAAGTCACACAGCACTTCAAGTGGGCAAATGCTGGGCCTCTCCAGATGCAACTGGTTGATCTCCAAGCAGATGTGGCCCTGAAAGAGCAGTTTGGAAGAACTGAACCTGTCACTTTCTGGCTCCAAATGGTCTCTGAGGCAGCTTTCCCTAATCTGAGGAAAGTAGCCCTGTACATCTTGTCCATGTTTGGCTCCACATACAGCTGTGAGGCAGCTTTCTCCACAATGATCATAATAAAAACTAAATATCGTTCCAGGCTCACCAATGAGCACCTACACATGAGTATGAGAATGGCCCTGACACCATTCCAGCCCAGATTTAAAATCCTGGTAGGGCAAACTAAAGCTCAATTCTCTCAATGAACAACAGAAAGTGGGGAAGTGGAATATAAGGGGGAAAGAAAGAGAAACTGTAAAATTAAGATGTTTTGAGATATCTGTTGAAAAATTTTTTGAGACTGTTAAGTCGAGATGTGAAAGGTAAAGAAAAAGGGAAACTCAAGCTGCTGCTATTTTTTTTCTGAAATTAAGCACTTTGTTTTAAGATGCACAATTTAGCCATTTTATTTATTTTCTCTAATTCATTTTAAACTGCAGCCCTATATCTAATGTAGACCTACTGTGTGTTTCAGTGTTAACAATAAATTTTGTTGAAATGTTTTTCAATTGTATTTTCGTTGATTTGACAGTCTATTGTTCATACATTCAGATATTGATAAAAATAGGCTGCTTCTGTATCACAATCATAACGCAAGTTAGACATTATGATGTCCCGGATCTCTGCTTGAGGAGATTTTCTCTAACTGGACCTCTTCAAATTTTAGTTGAATACCCCTGATATAGACAATATGAGAGAGAATTAAATTCAGCGCTTTTATTTACAACATGTGCTTATTAATGGCTGTATATTATTTAATTCAGGCAAAGTTACGTCTTTATTGTGACAGGATTTGACGGATTATCTTACGTGACACTGTGGGTTCGTCTTTATTTCTTAGAGCCAAGCTGCATAAACTACATATCAGTCATTTATGTAACACATCTAATTTGTGCATTAATAGCTGTTATGTTAAATAAAGTTTACTAAATATAGCAAAGCAAGTAAGTATACTTTACCTGTGCACGCAGTTGTTGTTTCCCCTCAGACGCCGTGCTGCAATGTCGATCATGCACGTAATTCTCAAAACACCCACAAGATGGTGGCGTTTATTGGTGAACCCGATATTACAAAACCGATAACCGATTATGGTAAAATGCTTAAATATCGGGAAAAATATCGATATATCGGTCGATCTCTACTCAGAACAGCTCTTTATGAATGAATATCTGGGTTTCAGATTATTAGTCGTTCAAATTAATGTTTTATTTTAAAACTTCCAGTTTCTAATATGATATATTTTTTTCAAACAAATGAAGTAATGATTTATATTAAAAAGCAATAGGTTTGTGATATTTTTACCGAATTAAGCAAGCGTCCCAAGACTTTCTTTGAGCACTGTATGAGAATCAGTGCCCCATTTTGAAGTACTATTAGATAATGTTAAGCATGCCTTACAGTAGTGGTTCAAACTTTTAATGTTCACAGACTGGTACAAAAATTTCCCAGACCAGTAAAACAGACAGGGGTTATGCCACTGGATCCATTAGTGCTGCAAACCCCCCAGCATTCTGGAGCCCCCTACCTTACAGTATAGGTATCGCTACTGAGAGAGAACATGCTTTAGTGATGGGCAAAATGATACCATCTGATGTATTTTTTGACTCCACTAGATGGTGCTATCTGTTCCCCCCAAAGCAAGCAAGAGCACCATCTAGTGAGGTCAAAAAATACAGAAAATGGTTCATGAAGCTAACATGCTTTATGGCAGTGAGTTCAGTATGACTGCCTACCATGACATTCTAGAGGCCCTTATTAAAGAGAGCTGCTGCATTTCTCAATATTCTTTTTCTGATTTTATTCTTGATTTTTTTTTTTTTTTTTTTTAAATCTCATCGAACAGAGGAGCATTAAGGAGCAGAAATCACATGGTTTCTCTACCTAACTAGCTGGCTATGAGCTTGTGGTCTTCCCTTACTGAGACTGTCCCTTTGCACTCTGAGCAGCAGTGAGGGATTAAGTTACTTCAAAGCATCTTGAGTGTAACAGGATGGTAAATTTCATGTACACTGTCCAATATGAAGGTAAAGGGTTTGTTTCTTGCTTATTTTTTTGTTTAATAAAACTGTATACCTGGTAATTTCTGTTCATTTGACAGTAATTCTTAATTATTTGAAGTACCGCATAGTTTATTGTACCATTTACACATTATCTGTCTGATTCTTCACTGTTGGTGTGTGTATGTTGAGGAGTCTAGAGCAGACCTCTCTTTCTAAATTAAGTAAAGGGGTTTCTTGTTCAATACTTGCTGTTAATATGACAACACTGGAGGGGAGAAAATATAAGTTAATTCTTGGTTGCATAGTTTTGGTCAGTTTCTGTTTTGTTAAATTGACTGTGTATTGTGCGTTTTTATACATTTGTGTTTGCTTTCTAATTGTGTTTTATTAATTATTTGCTTGTATTTTCCCCCTCATATCAAGTGTGTCATTGTCATATCAATAACAATGTCCTGTCTGCACACCCCTGGGCGTTGCCCCTATTAGAGTAGATTAGTGCCAAATGGTTTCAGTCCCGATTAACTATCAAAGTAAATAAAAAGTAAAAAAAAAAGAAGCTATTTTCATGTATTCCAGATTTGACTCGTTTCCCCTGCTCAGCATCCCATTGCCATTAGAAGCGATGTGAAGTAGGTGATTTCTTGTGAAAGTGATGAGCTGTTAGAAGTGATGAGAACGTTTGAGCATCCCAGCAGATCAACTGTGAAGGTGGTCCCCAAATGCATAAATAGGTTCTGTCAGCAGAAATCCAGCTTGATAGTGGAAGATCGAGAATGTGGCTGAACCCTTGGGAGAAGAGGACTGCTAATTTTTCCTGAAGACCTGGGGGGTATTCCACGAAGCAGGTTTAAGGGAAAGTCTGGCTTATTTAAGTGAGAGTTCCGTTCCGTGTCTTAAATGAATCCCCGCTGAATTACCATGGTAATTTAGGCCTGCGAACAAGCCTGGTCCGGACCAGGCTAACTGTCTCGCTTAGTTTAGCGTTGTCTCAAAGACCGTCCGACGTGTGGGAACATATTCCCAAAAGATCGTTCCGTCTGACAAAATTCCGCGATCTTACTACTCATGTCATGTAATCTGTTGAATTATATGTCCTCATCTGACATTATATTTTACACTGATTAATTTTTTTTGTTAATCTGTAAGGTGCACCAAAATGACATGATTTTGTTTGAGTTAGCGGGAGAATGAGTCTTGTATATATGTATATAAAAAATGGAACCCTGTAGTCGCATATAACGGAATTTCGCTTATAATGGACAAACAATTTGGTCCCCAGGGCCGCTTTTAGCTGTAGTTCTGTTCGGCTATAACGGGCATGCAGTTCCGCTTACAAGGCGTGGTGTGCCGGTGATATGCAGCGCAGATACGTAGTCGGGGTTATTAATAGTCACGCATCTGGTCAGGTACAATGTAATAATCGATACCACAAGTGTGTCTGCTGTGGTGTGGCATGAGTAAATGGTGTCCTAGCCATACCGAAACTCTGGATATAGCAGACTGTTTTGCCAGGTCCCTTTAAGTCCGTTATAACGGTATTTTACTGTAAAATAAAAGCGTAAGCATATTACAAAGGTGAAACTTGAAATGCAAAGGCTGTAAATGGAAAAAAAAATCGTTAAAATAATATGAACAGGAAAATATCTTTATATTTTTAGTGGCTGTCTACTTTGTAAGTTTACTACTAAGATAGCAAAGACAACATACGGTTATTTGTGCAGAACATTTCACACGGATGTGATTTAAAGTATTTTACGGAGATCAAATAATATTATACAGTAATAATGACAGGCGAAATCAACCCAAAAGGTTCTCCGTTGGCTATGGGGATCAAGCCAGCAACTTTCGTATTATAAGGCGACAGCATAAACCACTCTACCACCATGCCACTGTACTAAGCATTTGTAACATTTACGTGCCATATGCATTTAGTCTGTTTGCAATTCATTGCCAAGCCAACTCCCTGGCTGTGTTTATGGCCATAGTGTTGCCTTTATTTTAACAATTACATCTTTGTATTTTTCATACAGCTCTATTAGCAGCTTTTATTCTGCCGCGGAAAGAAACACCGCTCTCGTTTTACAGGCTTTCCGACTGATTTGGTCGATCTAACGTTCATCCATTTATTTGGGCTTCTTAAATATCGCGGGTGTGCGCACTAAGTGAGACTATGCAAGTCTGTCTTGAATGAACCTTGATTAATTAAAACTGAACTGCGTTCATGGAACGACATGAGGTTAAGTTTAGAGATGGAGGTAGGTTGAGTCTGACTTTTTTGGGAAAGTCTGCCTTTCTTTAGCTACTTTCATGTAATACCCCCCTGATGTTCACCATTGGTGCCAGCAAAATGCCAAATTCCTTCTGAAATTTAAGGGTGATGTATTGAGGGAATTCTTTTTCTTTATTTTGGCAGGGCAACCATTTCAATCAGATTGACTTGCCACTTTAATGACAGGGGAAGGCAGGACCAGCTGGATAGTCTGTTTCTTTAGTAAAAAGAGGAAGCTTGTTGTAAAAATGCCAGTGAATGATTTAATGATAAATACCCCTGTTTCTGTGTAAAACAAAATTGGTTGATGCTTTTAAATCCTTTGCTCTGAAGCCAAGTAGTGAGTGGTTTAACAATTAGAGCAAATAGTATAGGAGAATTAAATTCATGATGGTCCAATACAAGGCACTTATTGGTGATTTGATTTTGGGGCGATTGCATGTGACTGGTGTAGGAATTATTAGCTCAGGTAAATTTTAATATCTCCACCAATATGTTTTGAAATTAATACAATTTTAATTATTTAATGATGATTTTTTAACTAATTGTTAGGCTGAATGGTTGGTTCCTCCAAACTCGATTGTGAATCCCCATGAGTCTGTTAGTGTGAGACATAAATGGGATTGACTAATTACCAGTATCGCTTAGTAACCTGTGTTAGAAGGTTCGTCCACCAAGCTGCATCACCAGGTAATGTAAACGATCGGTAGCGAACCTAGCTCCCCTCACGGCCAATGAGAGTCTCGCGATATTTCAGGCGAGTTTAAGGTTTCAGAGCATAGTAGCCAGATCGCACAGAGGCACTTTGAACACTTAATGAACAGAGGCTGAAGTTGTGTAAAAAAAAAACATGCATTTATTCCTAACTAACACTACAACTAACATAAGACAGACATTACACTTAATATAAGCAACAAACATGACATAACGGAATAGAAACAAACAGAATGTAATCATGAAAATGCAATGACCAGGGGGCTGTTCCACGAAGCGAGCTTATAAAATTGAGGATTATTTGTAATAGCCTCACTTGAGTTAGCCTAACAGTTCACTTCAGGCTCATTGAGTTCCACGAACAAAATTCAGGTGTATTTAATCTCCACTAATTCAAGCCAAACTTGACAAGAGAGGTTTGTGCGCGTCCACGCGATATAAAAGGCAGCCTTGTTAATCGATGCTGGATAAGTAAGAATGGAAGGAAAGGAAAGAGCTGCGTTTCCCCCCCAAACGGAGCAAGAATTATTACTGCAAGCCTATGAGAACTACAAAGACTATAAAGGGGAACACGAGCTGCATCATCAAATCTCGTGAGGCTGCATGGCAGAAAATAGCTGACAGGTTAAATGCGTAAGAACATGATTTAAGTAACCTTTGTGTTAAGGATGTAAAAATATTTAACAACTAAATGAGAACAGTTTCAAGCCTTCAAAATGTATAGTCACAATAATATTCCNTGGATTTAAGGTAGTCTGGGCAAAATGTAAGTGAGCGAATATGAAGTCCATTTAAACTGTGGTACCTTAAATCTGACAAGTTACCCCGATAAGCCAGTAACCCCGCTTCGTAGTACAGGCCACTGGTTTAAGAGCGCCAAGTATCATCAAAAATCATATGGCACACACGCGCTCCTTGTTTTTCTTGTTTTTACGTGCACTCGGCTTCAAAACAGGAAGCGCATGTGTGAGCTTCTTGGTTTGACGCCGAGCGCACTTCATCACAACTGAACCAATGGTTATTCACTTTCTCACGAGTTGTAAACATCCGAGCGCGTGTATGTTGTTTACAACAGCGCTGTGACAGCGTGAGCGCATAAAGCATTTTTTATTTAATTTTAAAGTGTTTTATTTATTTTTGTGTCCTTACTGCGCATTAGTACTTTAGTGTACTGCAACAATGGCTCCCGCGAAGAAAAAGTTGCAAAGGGAAGGCGGTAAAAAGAAATTTTGTAGAAAATCACCACCCGAATAAGGCTGTAGCAGTGCGCACAATCAACCTGTTTAATGACAATGCAATGTTTAATTTCCGTGAGATTCTTAAAAGGAGGCAAAAGCAGGTGTCATTAGATAGGTTCCTGGTAAGAGTTACCCAAAAAGAGAAAGAGGCTGGTGAGCCAACAGGTAGCAGGGATGAGTAAATAGTGATAGTGAAAGTCTTGGTTTTATTTACAGTATTTTATTTATTTTATTTTTACATTAAAGAGCGGTTTGGATTACAAACATGCTTCCGGAACGAATTATGCTCGTAAACCAAGGTTTGACTGTATTTAAATACTGTCCATAGTGTTTTGTATGCTGTGTATATTTAACTAACAATACATTTCCTATATATTTTGTCTTACACCGAGTGTCCATGCTTAAAAGATTCACTCTGTCAGGACTGCTTCTTAGAATCTTGGTTCCTCTCACGTTTTCTTTGCTGTATTTAAGCTGCTGGGAACAGTGGCCCTCCCTAAATGTGCTTACTATGTTTTGAGAAGTTATCAAGATCTTCATAGTGTAAGCAAAACAAAACTATCACTGTGTCAACCTGAAATGGTGCATTATATATAGCTCAGATGTATATAAGGAATGAAACAATAAGAGAAGAAATACTGGAAATGCAAATCTAAGCAATACAAGAACATAATAAAATATTAGGTCAGTGTGCAGATACAGTAGCATTAGCAGTGGTAAGTTCAAGATCAATTTATCTTCAGGTTGTGTACAACTCATTTATTGTGGAAAGTGAAGAATAAGTGAACAGCAAAAACACTATGAGGTAGTCAGTACTTGTTTTATATATAAATTATTTATTGCAAATAGTGTAAAGTAAAAATTTTCTTTTGAGAAAATAAAAAAACACTTAGAAAAGTGAAAAGCAATAACAAAAATGTACAGTCCTACAGCAGACCGTCCTTTTTCTTTTGACAGGTAATTCTTGGGTCAAAGTCTCCAATTTCACTAAAACAGACAAAAAAAGTACAGTTAACAATGTTACATGCACCATTTAACCTTGCAGGTCTTTTCCTGCAACTCTTACCTTCTGCTGTGCTGAAGACCAGCAAGGAACAAGTTCTCTGCTTCCTGTGTGGACACACCTGTCAGCTGAGCTAGAGCACAGATGATGGACTAAACAAAACAAACGAAAATACATTATAAAACACTGTTGTACTAAAAGCATGTAAGGTTGTCATTGCATTTCAATAAAAGAACTAATAGGCCATTAAAAGCAATATAGTACAAGACATTTATATGTGAACCTTTCGGATCTGTAGGGCAAATCATGAATGAGAAAGACATGAGGAAATATATTACTTGTCAAAATAAGGCATTTGTTATGTGTGTCGGTGTTTCCACTGGAGTTGTTTCTGCCTGTGGCTATCATCTGTCATAAATATCATCATTGACATAAAAAAGAATTTTGGTGAAACTGCATTAAATTAATTTTACATCTGTCGATTTAGAAGCTTTAAATTAACTTTTTTTGACATGGATACCATAGGGATAGAATATCCTACATCTGTATTTAGTAAATTGATATGCATCCTTTATCCATGTTAAGCTCAGATACTTTAATAGAAAAAAAACTAACGCACATAACAGATACCTGTATACATGCATAGTAAAACAGAATGTGGACTTGCTTTAAATAATTATTCACTGAATTATTGACTGATTTGGTTGTACTGAGATGCAGACTTATACAGGGCTAAAATAAATAATAATAATAAAAATTAATAATCAACATAAAGAATTGCATGGCAATTCATTAGTCAACACAGTTGATGGCAAAGGACATTTTCAACAATATTAAAAATTAAAATAACCAAAATTTTGGAAGGATCGATGTCGAATTTGACACAGCTGCACAAACACCAGTACTTCTATGGAAGAAAACTATACAGATTCAATAATAACACATATACCGGTACCTAACTCGATTTTGCACCGTGTGAAACAAGCAAATATAAATTAACATGCCTTTGATCGTATAACTTGGGGATACACGGCGCAGTTCGCTCATATCCTTAGGTGAGAGATCACCGACTACTTCGCTACCTACATGCTGTGTAGCTGGTGTCACGCATGCGTACGCAGATCGGACAGCCACAGCCAGGCAGTCAGGATACAGATCCATAGATATAAACACTAGTATGACAGCCTTTCACACTGCACGAGTGAGTATCCCATCTTACCAAAGATAAAACCAGACGCAAACGCTCGCTCATGCGTTGTATACAACCAAAATGGCGATTTGGCCCACATTACACTCCGGCTATAGCGAGTGTGACGTCAGCGGACAAAGACCAATTGAGTGGACCTGCTGGCTGGACCAAAAACACAAGGATGGACCACTTGGACGTTTTTTACATGCGGAAAGCAATACCCTGTGTAAATAGTTTTAATGGGATGGATGTGTAATCAATGTAAAGTAATTTGATTTAAAAAATTAAGTTGTGACATGTTAATATAACATGTGCTTCAAATTAAATGTTTAAAATGAACTTATGCTGTTGTGTCATGAAGTGTTACATGAATGTTTAAGTGAAACAAATAAGCTATGTTAACATTCATTGTTCTTATTAACCCCTTAAAAAGAACTCAGTAAATGTTTAAGTGAAATAGAAGCTTACTCAGTAACACCACATTCATTACTAAGGAGTTAGTGTGTTTCACTTTATAATACTGTTCTTGTTCTTTAGTAACTCCTATGGAAGAAGTCAGTAACACCACATTCATTACTAAGGAGTTACAGTGTGTTTCACTTTAACCCAGTGGCTACTAGGAAAGACTAGTTGGCAACCATGGAAGAACGGTGACAGCAAGGAGAGACTGCTGGCATCTGGGGAAGACCAGAGCAGGGGTGTGGCGGCTTGGCAGGCCAAAATACATCCTCCATGAGGAGGAACCCAAGACACATGCTATGGACAAGTACTTGATAAGATACCCCCAAGGTCAGGCGGGAGCGGGGGAGGATGACCAACCTACAGGACAGACCACGGCAACGACCTCAGAAAGTGTAAACCCGACTTCGGCACAGCTTAACGTGACAGCTGCGGTTTGCACATGTGGGAAAGTCTGCAAGAATGCGAAAGGTCTCAAGATTCATCAGTCAAAGATGGGGTGCCAACGGTCATGCAGTGGGCGACGCACTGGGCAACCTGGTGAGATGGAGGAGGCTGGGACCGGCGACTAACCACAGTTCCCGGAATCTCCAGGCACACAGCAGAGAAAGAGAGGGCAATTCCATCCCTGATGTACCTTTGAGGGCAGCACAGAGGCAGAGTGGGAATACCCAGCAGCATCTACAGTACAGACACGAGGCAGGGAAGCAGACAATCAACTGGCCAGCTGGACAAGCAAGGAAGGAGTGGGAGAGATTTGACTGTGAAGTGGATCAAGTTTTGGAGAACGTTCTCGCGGGGGAACTGAATCGAAAAGTGAAGACAATGGCGAGTATAATCTGGAGCATTGGAGCAGAGCGGTTTGGAGTGAAACAGATAGGAACTCATCAACCTAGACCCGAACAGCAAAGGGAGAATCGCAGAAACAAGGAGATTAAACAACTACGGTGTGATCTCCGGAGGCTTAGGAAAGCTTTCAGGCAAGCGGAGGAAGTGGAAAAACAAGCTCTGAAGGAGATCCGGGACAACCTGAGAGAGCGTATTAAGACCTTACGCCGAGCAGAGTATCATCGGAGGAACAGAAGACGGCAGTCTAAGCAGAGATAGCAGTTCACCAAGAACCCATTTGGCTATCTGAAGAAGCTCCTGGGCGACAAAAGGTCTGGTCAACTGCAGGCGCCAAGGGAAGAGGTGGAGGAGTACCTCTCCAGCACGCACAGTGATCCAGGGAGGGGCACAGAGCTGGAGATCAAGGAGGCCGTAATGACCCTGGACGAGCCAACAACCATGTTTAAGGACCAAGAACCATCATGGAAGGAGGTCAATGATACCCTTAAAAGGGCAAGGGCTGGCTCGGCACCGGGACCCAATGGGATTCCATACAAAGTCTATAAGCAGTGTGAGCGGTTGAGAAGGAGACTCTGGAAGCTGTTGAAGGTGGCATGGCGGGGGAATCGCCTACCAGATGAGTGGCTCATTGCAGAGGGGCGTTTTATACCCAAAGAGGAAAACTCCTCAGGTATAAAACAGTTTCGCACCATCACTCTTCTGAATGTGGAGGGCAAGATTTTCTTTGGAATTTTGGCAGGCAGACTTACCTCCTTTCTACTCAGCAACAAGTATATCGATACCGCAGTTCAGAAGGGGGGTGTCCCAGGAGTTCCAGGGTGCATTGAGCACACAAGTGTCATCTCAAAGGTAATTGAGGATGCAAAGAGCAATCAGGGAAACCTTGCAGTCCTCTGGCTTGATATATCTAACGCTTATGGAACTGTCCCGCACAAGCTGGTGGACCTCACTCTGCAAGCCTACCATGTCCCAGGGAAAGTCCAGCACCTCCTGCACGATTATTTCAATCGCTTCAAGATGCGATTCACCTGTGGGGACTTCACAACCAGCTGGCAGAGGCTGGAAAAAGGCATTGTTACAGGGTGCACAATTTCGGTCATTCTATTTGCAGCTGCAATGAACCTCCTGGTCAAGACAGTGGAGAAGCCAAGGAGAGGTGCGGTTCTGGCAAATGGTGTTCAGCAGGCCCTGTTAAGGCATTCATGGATGATCTGACAATAACTGCAAGATCAGTTCCAGAAGGTCGTTGGATTATGGAAGATCTTGCCAAGATCATCGCAGGTGCCAGGATGGAGTTTAAGCCATCAAAGTCAAGGAGCCTTGTTCTGAGGAAAGGACGCATTCAGGACCGCATTCGCTTCAAAATTGGAGAGGAGATCATCCCCACTGTCAGTGAGAGACCCATCAAGAGCTTGGGGAAATGGTACAGAGCAGAGCTGAATGACCGAGAGAGTGTGAAAGAGATGCTTAACCAGGTTGAAGCTTGGCTGCCAGCTCTGGACAGGAGTGGGCTACCTGGTACGTTTAAACTTTGGGGCTACCAGCATGGAGTACTCCCAAGACTTCTGTGGCCATTACTGATGTATGAGGTGCCATTAACAACAGTTGAAGCCTTAGAAAGGAGGATTAGCACCTTCCTGCGGCTAGCAGTTCCCAAAAGCTTTTCTTCAGTTGGCCTGTACAGCTCTGGAAGTAAGCTTCAGCTACCATTAACATCTGTGGTGGAAGAGTTTAAAGTGGCTAAAGCCCGCCAGGTGGTAATGCTACGGGACAGCAGCGATCAGTTTGTGAGCCAAGCAGATATCTCCATCCACACAGGGCGGAAGTGGTCAGCCAGCAGGGCCGTGGCAGATGCGGAGGTAAGGCTACGGCACAGAGACATCGTGGGAACTGTCAACCAAGGCAGGCTGGGGCTAGGGGTCATAACCAGGGCAAGGTGGAAGGAAGCAAATGCCAAAGGTCGTCGCAGCCTCATCCAGGAAGAGCTTTGTATGGTGGAGGAGGAGAACAGACAGATGAGGGCAGTGGCTATGACAATCCAGGGGAGGTGGACATGCTGGGGCAGTGTCCAGGGAAGATCATTGGGGTGGAGGGATGTGTGGGGCATGGAGGAGAAGAGGATCAAGTTCCTCTTGTGCTCCACCTATGATGTCCTGCCATTGCCAATTAACCTCCATCGTTGGGGGCTGATTGAGAGCCCAGGGTGTGAACTATGTGGGAGACCAGCAAGCCTT